AACTTTGCTTTGCCATGCTTTTATGCATTTTCTTTTTCCACTGTGAAACTCTTTTCTGAAAACCACATTAAGAATAAACTTTTAACCAATCAAACCAGGGCCTATGGGGTTGAAAGATGGCTCAGCTGTTAAGAGCCTAACCCTAACCCTCCACAGGACCTGAGCTTGATTCCCAGTATCCATGCTCACAACCCTCTGTGACTCAAATCCCAGAGGATCCAGTGCCCTCTTCTGTCCTCTAGAGACATTGCATGCATGTGTTACACAGACTCACCTATAGCAAAAGACTGAAATAAATAAAAATAAATGAGCCAGGTGCAGTGGTACACTGGCCTTTATTCTTAGCATTTGGGAGGCAGAGGCAGAGCTCTGAGATCAAGGTCAGCCTGGTCTACAGAGCGAGCTCCAGGACAGTCAGGGCTACATAGAGAAATCCTGTCTGTAACCACATAATAATAATAATAATAATAATAATAATAATAATAATAATATTCAAAAGGACCTAAGATAATATATATCTACATTTAAATTTATTATTATTCAAGCTGAACTTAACTCAAGAAAACTAATATAAAATCAAACTAAAACATAAAAATGTACAAGTTATACAAGTTACCTGGCTCTAGGGAAAGTAGGAGTACCTCCCTTGTAAGCTCCTAGACCAAAGTTCAGAGAAGTTTATGCTGCTATCCATTGTGTGCCAGCTGGGTTATTTTAAGATGAACTGGAGCTGGCATGACTAAAAGTCCTTAGGAGTAATGAATCCCATTCACCACTGAAATCCAATTACTCTACAGTTCACAATGCATTGCATTTCCTCTGCTGAGAAAGGCCAGAGACATGTCTCACATCTAAAATTAGGACGCCATCACATGCAGCATTGAGCAAAGGGAGAGGGATGGGCTGAAGAGTTGCTGAAACCGTCTGAGTTGCAGTATTTAGAGGTAATCCTTTCCTTCCCTTACCCAGAATGTGGGTGAAACACTTTATGTTGTAAACTGTCATGAACAGTATTGTCTGGGAAGAGACAGATAGGACTCTGGGAATTTTATCTTAAAAAACACATGCTATTTGTGTCTACTAGCAGGGTTTTTAGGAGTAAATGGTCAGTGAAAATAAAGCCTTGGCAAACTTTCATTTTCTTCTTAAAGCATTTATATTCAAGATACAACTGTCCTCCTCTCGTTCCTCCTTTTTAAACACCATCATTCCGCAGTAGACTGTTGGAATTTAGCAAGCTTTTCCTTGAAAGAGGCAAAGAGGAAACAGACTTCGCAGCCCACAGAGTCTGAGCAAATACTCCAGTCTACCATGGCAGTACAAAAACAGCCACGGGCAGCATGTGCAAGGATCATGGCTGCATTCCAACAAAACCCATTATGTACACTGAAATTCGATTTTCATGTGTAGCAAAACATTCACCCTTAAAAATGTATACAAATGTAGAAGTTGGTCTGAAGGGATTTTTTCTTTTAATTCAAACACTATTTACAGAGGCTGGAGAGATGGCTCAGTAGTTAAGAGCACATACTGCTCTGGTAGAGGACCTGAGTTTGGTTCCCAGCACCCAACATGGCAGCTCACAACCATCCATAACCCAGTTCCAGGGGATCTGATGCCCTCTTCTTGCCATAATAAGCATCAGGCACACATGTAGTGTGCACAGATACATATAGACAAAACACTCATACACATCAAACAAAATTTAAAAACCTAAAAAAAAAATCCCAAAAGGCTATTCTCCTAAACAGAGAGCTAGCCGGCTGATTTCTCTGGACGTGGGTATGGTGTAAGAAAGATACTATAAAGGAGAGCGGCTTGTACACAGCAAGCACTGAAAAACACTGGCCAAAATGGAAATCGAGTGAAGCAATTGAATTTTTTTCTGGGAAGAGAAAGGGAAGCTCCTACAGGAACCAGTCTGAGGCCTCAGAGGGGATTCCAGAGGACACTTCAGGCCATTCTGTTCTAAAGGAATCCTCAACAGCTTTCCTAAAGTGTTTATTCTTAAAAAACAAAAATAAAACAAAACAGGCCACAGATGTTTTCTTCTCAGGAAGGGCTAAGTATGGCCCCTGTGGAGAAGCACAAGGACCCTTCAGAAAAAGAGGAAAGCAATTTGCCAGTGAGTACTTAAGTATTAAATTGAGACTCAGCCCAAGATTCATGCAGACAGGACAGGCACTTCATGTGTTAGTGTTTCTTTCTCTTCAAAACTCTTTTATTGAGATATCTTAAAAAATATTCATAGTCGCCGGGCATTGGTGGTGCATGCCTTTAATCCCAGCACTTGGGAGGCAGAGGCAGGCGGATCTCTGTGAGTTCGAGGCCAGTCTGGTCTATAGAGTGAGCTCCAGGACAGGCTCCAAAACAAAACAGGGAAACCCTGTCTTGACCCCCCCCCCAAAAAAATATCCATAGTTAAGAAACTATGGAAATGCACGCCTTTAACCAGCACTTGGAGGCAGAGGCAGAGGCAGAGGCAGAGGCAGAGGCAGAGGCAGAGGCAGAGGCAGAGGCAGAGGCAGAGGCAGAGGCAGAGGCAGAGGCAGAGGCAGAGGCAGAGGCAGAGGCAGAGGCAGAGGCAGAGGCAGAGGCAGAGGCAGAGGCAGAGGCAGAGGCAGAGGCAGAGGCAGAGGCAGAGGCAGAGGCAGAGGCAGAGGCAGAGGCAGAGGCAGAGGCAGAGGCAGAGGCAGAGGCAGAGGCAGAGGCAGAGGCAGAGGCAGAGGCAGAGGCAGAGGCAGAGGCAGAGGCAGAGGCAGAGGCAGAGGCAGAGGCAGAGGCAGAGGCAGAGGCAGAGGCAGAGGCAGAGGCAGAGGCGTGAGTAGGAGGTGAGTCTGACAGGCCTACAGAGTTCCAGAACAGTCAGGGGTATGGAAGAGACACCCTGTCTCAAAAAACCAAAAAAAGTCTTCGAGTGAAACATTATGTTCTTTTAAAATGGAAATAAAAAGCATAGGACACTTTATCATTAGATTCCTAATTCTTCCCCCAGATGAACTGCTAAGACATATGTAAGCTATTGCTAATTTAGTTCCTGATTCCAATCCTACCACTCCATTTTCTTATCAGTCAAATGGAAGCAAGAGCAGTACTCATTTCAGTGTTACAAAGACCAAATGAGAAAATATATAAAATGCTTGACACTTTGAGGCCATTATTTAATAGCTTATAAGGAATAAGTGTTTTACTGGGTGGATTGCCTTCTGGGACCTACATACCGTGGAGAAAATATCAAGACTAACAATCTGCTTGGGGATTCTATCTCAGGGGGAGGAACAGATCATATATGGGGCAGTAAATTAGTTTTAAATTTTGTCAGGACATCTGTCATATATCTCTCACACTTACCCCTAAATGCAAATTGAATGGGAATTGAGTGTATTTCTGTGAGTCTAGCTGTCACTAATCTTTTTATTCTTTGATTTCCCCATGAAGCACTACCATAATAATCTTTAAAGTTTCAAAAAAAATTCACATGTATTTGGGGCGGGGGTGTTGTCTCTGTGACCACCGTGGTCAGCAGAGGGTTTGATCCATGAGAGATAAAAAGGCAGTTTGGTTAATTCAACTTAGTAGCCAGTGTTGACTCAAACTTTTATTTTAGGCATATTCAAGCACAGTACAATTTGGTTGAAAAACTTTCCTGATGATAATTAACTCAATCCTGTGTGACAATAAAGCTTAAGACGTGACTACACTGAAGCCCTTTGTAAAGTACATGTGACATATTCCACAAAGACAGGGCCAGATTGACTGGGAAAAACAAGCTCATGATAAGGCCTGGGGATCTGGTGTGGTCTTGGCCACACAGATAGTGCAAAAGCCATCGAGCTTTTGCCCATCTCTCTCAGCCTTCTGGGCAGAAAACAGGTTTTACATCTGTCTTTTAATACTCTCTGTGTTAGCATTCCTGGTTCCCTAGTGCTTCTCTATGAGAGTTTGATATCTTATTTGATAACCCTGGGAGACAGGGAAGTAAGGTGAAGCCTAACTGAAGCACATATATCTTCTTATTTGATAACCCTGGGAGACAGGGAAGTAAGGTGAAGCCTAACTGAATGACTCTTTGGAATCGAGGAACTGGCTTCTCACTCTAATGCACTCCCATTTCCTTTCACGACTCCATCTTCCCATAAGAGCTCACTCCAGTGGACAATAAATTTGGCATCATTTTTATTGTCTCATACTTGAAGACATTTTCTTGGTTGTATTTTCAAGGCTCCACCTACTAAAGCAGCAAACAAAAGCTTGAGGTTCAAGTTTCTTTAGTAGTCCCAAAATGTAGACAAGAGCCAGAAAAAGAAGGAACAAGTGTGCAATGAAAAACTGGTGCATACTTTTTTCTTCTTGCTCCTCAACTTCTGTTTTCATAAATGAGGCTCCTTACTAGGTATAATATATTTTCTTGCCAATTATAGTTCCTTTACTGTTAATGCAAACTAGATAAGTAGTCTGTCTCTAGTAAAAACATATAATATCCTAAAGTCAATGAACAATAAAAGAAGCTGTTCATCAGCACTTGATAACATGACTTAGTCGCTTCCACTTCCCTATTTTTTTCAGCAAACATTTTGTTCAGCTACTATGGGCTTCATACTGAGTTCTTTTCCCCCAGACAGGGGTTTCTCTATGTAACCTTAGCTCTCCTAGAACTCACTCTGAAGACTGGGCTGGCCTCTGCCTCTGCCTCCTGAGTGTTAGGATTAAAGGCGTAAACCACCACACCTGGCTCATACTGAGTTCTTACAATTAGGCTAAAAATGAGAGGGAAGCATTCATCAGATTAATCCAACTGATAAATTACAATACCATTCGATAAGCATTATGTCAGAAGTATGTACAGGGCTCTTGGCAGATACTGCTATGTGTTCATAACAGCTTACAGGAAATTGCTTTTCTGGGACCTCTTTAAAAACTCATCTTTCATGCCCTCTGCATCACTTTATCAACATTTTACATATTCAAAAGCAGACTAGATAGTTAGTTACTCTATATTTTACAGTGTAAAACTTACACTATTCAGGGACACTGAAATCTATTTAATCATAAACAATATATACACAACACAACAGCTTCTGTAGTTTTGGTCTTTAGTTTGAGTTCATTTATTACCACTGATGGTGTAACTCAGGTCAATTATTGAAGTTCTGCAGTTCTCCCCAATCTGATCAACTGTAACAACTGAAATAAACACATCAGTCCCATGATTCTGCTTATTTTCAAGAGATCCTCCCAAAGGGACTTATCTTGTTGACAAAGCTCTTCATTACAACATCTCTGCAATCCCCTACACTGTTTCATTGGAAACCGAACACACTGGCTTTAGGCAAACTTCCTTCATTACTCCTAGCTTTGGTCATATTTAACTCTCTAGAAAGAATTCTCTACAAAGACACAATGACATAGAGTTGGGGCTCTGTAATTCCATTGCTTCTATCAGAAGCCATCCACTAGAGTGACTTTATCCAAGAGGTCCTAACTCATGCTTGGCTCCCCTGGGCTGCCTATGTTTAATGTCTCTTAGTGAAGTCATTCAGTTGCACCAGAATATACCTTGGTACCTGCTTTATGGATTGCTAGCTGTAGGATCAGGAAAATGGCTTGGAAGGTTGGAGCCTGGGTTGGAAACTTGGTTCTGAATTTTTTAGACTGTCTGTAATTTTATCATTCCATCTCTGGGTTTCCTTACTGAATGATGGGGAATAAAGACATTTCCTGCAATTGGATATTTTTAAAGCATTTAGTATGTTTGACATGTGACATACATTTGAGAAACTCTAATGTGTTATAGTGACAGATTTCTTCCTAATGTTAAATCTCTGAGGAGTACCATTAAAAACAAACTAGAAAGTTGGAAGATGCCGGGTGGTGGTGGTGCACGCCTTTAGTGCTAGCACTCGGGAGGCAGGGGCAGGCAGATCTCTGTGAGTTCAAGACCAGCCTGGTCTACAGAGCGAGTGCCAGGATAGGCTCCAAAGCCACAGAGAAACCTTGTCTCGAAAAACAAAAACAAAAAAATAAAGTTGGAAGATGAGACGCCTCAGCATGCAAAGCGCTGGTTTGTTAGTAAGGTTAGCCTGAATCTGACCCCCGGACCCTGCATGTCCAAAGGATTCACTCCTGCATGTTGTCTTCCGACCTCCACAAGGCAGCCACACACAGACACAGTAAATAAATGTAAAGGTTTTAAAATAAAAAAAGACAAAAACCAAGCAAAATTTCATTTGTATATACTTCAGAAAGAGCACAATTGTTTTCACCGGTTCTAAAAGATTTCTGTCTAAAACAGCTAAGTGTAGAACCAAGAAATGGGATTTAAAAGTAACACCCAAACTGCACTGTGACCGAGAAAACGGAGTGATCTTTGAGTGCAGAGATTGTATTTGTTTGCAGGGTGCTGCTCCAAATCCATTTCCCACTTCGGAGTCTACCAATATACCCACACTTTTGTCTGGGCACAGCCTAGCCTACTAAGAGTGGGTTTTTGTTTATTTTACTATTACTTTCTTTAATTTTATTATCCTCCCAATTTGGGAGGGAGAGCATAGAGAAAGACACGCACACCCATGCTTTTATGCAGGATACTGACAATGGAACCCAGGGACTCTTGCCTGGTGCTTTACACCTTGACTCTGGAGTGGCCTGAAATTCTTGTGATACTCCTGAGAATTAAGGGAGGTTTTCCTGGCTAAGGGGCTGGGATTTGCATGGGAAGACAGACTGCCTTTGCAAACAATCCGCATGGATGACGGTGTTCTCTGCTGGAAAAGCCCACTCAGTCCCCTAAATCTCTTCCACTGTGTCATCCTCTCTGAAATTCCATCTTCAGAAACATTTCCTTTGGGTCAGTAAAGCTCCTGAGAGGATAGCAGAACTCCTGTGAGGTTTATTATCTTACTGGGCATCTCCCGATCCCAAGGAGTTATCCAATTTAAAGGCTCAAGTAGGTAGTTGGCTCAAGGATTACTTTCTTCATGGGGCACAGGATGGGGCCTCTTACAGTTCTTGCCTTCAAGACTAGAAAGGAAGGACTCTAGGATGGTGGGCACTGGGTTATTTACCTGAAAGGCGGGATCTCTAAGACAAAAGAGGATAGAATAAGGCAGACAACGGAAGGAAATCCAGAGTCCTCCTTTCTTCTGCTTACACGCCTAGCCCTTTCCTATAAAACTTATTAGTTTCCCGAAGCTGGGGACGGAGGGAAGCAGGTGGGAGTCCTGGTCTCCCTGGTCCAGAGGAATGGGGAATCATTCCAGAGGGGTAGATGAAGGATGCTTGGCGGGACGGCTTCCCTTATGAGGCGCGCTGGGGCAGGAAAGAAAGGAAAATGGGCAAACTGAACCCGCGGGAGAGTCGCCTCTACCACCGTGACTGCCAGGGACTGCCCTGATCCTCGTTCCTGGCGTGAGATAAGGAAGGGCTGACACCTGACGTGGCATCCAGGACCCAAAGGATAAGCGAGCCCCTGCCTGCTAGGTTCCGGAGCAATGGATACACGCCACTGCCCAGGGCGCGCCCTCTTGGCTGTGATGCAGGTTGCACCCCGGCACCCTGAAAGCATCATCCACCAGCCCGAGAAACCAGGGGTAAAGGAGAAGACCGCGGCTCTGAGAAGTGCACACAGTGCAGGGAGACGCGCCTTTCGGGGACCCGGCTGTCAGCGGGGTTCTTGCTGCAGGCTGGGGGCTAGGTAGCCAGGGCGGGCTCAGGGCGGCTATGCCAGGGACGAGGGACTCACCCCTGAAGGACTCTGGGAGCCGCTGAGTTACGACGTGTTCGGTATGTCGTTTCTCAGACATATTGCTTGGGTCGGAGTCGCTCTTCACCATATTAGCGCGGAAAGCAGAGACTCACAGAAAGCCGTTAGCAACCACCAGGCTCGAGCTCCGGGCGCAGTCCCGCCTCCCACCAGGGACCCTCCCAATAGGCGCCCGGGAACGCAGAGGACACGCCCCTGCCCAGCCCGCACTAAGGGGCGTGTCCAGAGGGGCGTGTCCTGAAGGGCGGTGTCTGCGAGGCATGGTCTAGAAGAGAGGCCCCGGGACTGGAATGCTTAAGGCCCCGCCAAGGTCTCGCCCCAGCTTCCGGAGGGATGATCAGAGAAGATTCCGGAACAGGGCAGTGCCTAGGAGCGGTTCTAGACCAAAGCCTTCAGCGAGGAGGAAGGAGTGCCCTGGTGTAGCAGGGTGCTGAGGCCAGCCTGGGGACACAGTGTAGGTGGTGTGAGAGGAAGGAGTCTGTCTCGAGTTTATATTATACCACAAATAAACAAGCTAAGGGTGTTGCGAGGCAACAGCACAGAGAACCAGGAAGGTGTCTATAAATAAGGATTGTGGCCCTTGGGCGTCCCCTGAAAGATGACAAGGAGCCAGCCAACCTTGGGAATGCGACATTTTTGTTCACGAGAGCAAGGCCTGGATTCTAACATTACATGTTTACAGTGTCCAGGCTATGGAAGAAGCTTTTGCCAGAACACCCCCAGTCTCCAGTTGCCTCCCTTGAGGTTCATGACTGAAAACCTTACGTGGTGGCACAGGCCTTTAATCACAGCTCTTGGGAGGCAGAGGCAGGTGGATCTCTTTGAGTTCTAGTCCAGCCTGGTCTAGAGATCGAGTTCCAGGACAGGCTCTAAAGTTACAAAGAAACCCTATCTCAAAAAACCCCAGAACAAAAACAAAACCGAAAAACCACTGCCATTTTATTCTTTTTGGTTGGTCCTAATGCAAACTGTTCAGGGAAATGTTAAGGTACACATAATAAACTTTTAAAATCATTTTATTTTGAATAAACACAGAATCACAGGAAACTGAAAAGACATTACAGAGGTCAGAAAGACCCTCCACCCACGGTACGTCTGTAGTCATATTTAGGTATAGTCTCAAAACAGGAAATGAACCCTGACAGAATAAGTACATCAATGTGTCGTTTTACCGCACAGGTAATTCGAATGACCATAGCTATAAAGATACAGAGCTATTTCATCACGCCCAGATATTCCTCTTGGAAACACTTTATCTTTTTTCAGTGTAATCAGTATTGGCTGTATAATTTCAGATGCTGTGCAATGGTTTCTCCTCATGAAATGATAAATGTTTCTTACAGCTCTTGTTGTCCTGAAGAAAACAGAAACACTAACAGTGGAGAGGAATCAAGCCAACCTTTGTTTGAGGGTGAAGGTTTTAGACTTTTAAACCTTGTGATTCAGCTCTCCCCAAATGACTTCCCATAAAATAGGTAACATACTTGCAAAGAGCTGTTTATAGTCCTGGGGATGGTGTCTTAGCTCATGTAATCACATTATTCGTCTTTTATAAATAAGCTGTTTAGTAGAGAAGGAGAGGGCTATAGTAGTTTAGTGGTCTGTTCTCTTGGAATCATCCTTGATAAACCCCACAGTTTCATTTATTTTTCCATTCTGCCACAAATAAGGCCCAGAGGCATGAACTTCCTGTATATGCTGTGGTTCTCAGGGAAGCAAAGCAAATAAGAAATTAAACCACCTTGCATATTGCGATAAGGTATTTAGGTGTCACAGCTTTACTGTATTTCAAAGCGTATTTGTCTGTACTGCTCCTGCATGAAACTGAACTCTCAAGGCAATCTCAGCCAGCGTCATTTCTGAAGCACCGCCCTTTGGGACAGAGGCTTTTGGTAAACATTTGCTGGCACTCAATTCAGATTGCATCAGTTCTAGCGTTAATTCTGAGCCCCAGATGAAGAACAAACTTTTGAGAGTAGATAAGAATTTCCAAATCTGAGTTAAATATTTTGACTGACACTTGCCAGTAATACTGTTATATTTTGGCCACCACAAATTCTATGTGAGTGCCTGGTTTAAATAAACTTTAAAAATAAATTTTAGGGGATCAGTGCTTAGGAGCACTTCCTGTTCTTTCGGAGGACCTAAGTTCAGTTCTCAGCACCCACACTGGGCAGTTCACAGCCACCTGTAACATCAGCTCCAAGGGATGCATCTACTTTCTTCAGGCCTCTGAGAAGACCAGGCATACATGCAAAGCACTTACATACACGCAGGCAACACACACACACACACACACACACACACACACGGCGCAAATATCTCCCTTTAAGATTTACAGAATGATTAGAAGTTAGAATTTTCTAAGAGGACTGGAGAGATGGCTTGCTCCCCGACTGGGAATTTAGATCCCAGTGATGCCATGGACCACTGAAGCAGAGGAAAAATGTGTGTAGATGGAAGTTTCTGTCCCACTCAGTCCCACAGCCATTGAGTCCCAAATAAATACACAGAGATTTATATTAATTATGAACTGTTTGGCTGATGGCTCAGGCTTCTTATTGGCTAGCTCTCTCTTAATTACTAACCCATTTCTATTAATCCTTCTATCTCCACATGATCTTGGCTTATTGGCAAATGTCTGGTAGCTACATGGTGACTCCTTCATGACTGCTTCTCTGCGTTTCTCTTCCCAGAATTCTCCTGGTCTGGTAGCCTGCCTATACTTCCTGCCTAGCTACATCCTGCCTGTCCATTGGCCAAAACAATTATTCATCAACTAATAAGAGAAACATATTCATAGAATACAGAAAAACACCCCCCCATTATATCCTCTTTTCTGTCTAAATAAAAAGGAAGGTTTTAACTTTAACATAGTAAAACTATATATAACAAAACAGTTATCAAGCAAGAGCTATAGTTAGCAATATTTAGTACATTAAAATTTGGCAAAATTTAAAGAAATATCTATTCTATCTTTGTGAGTCTAAAATTTTATATGTAACTTATCTTTTATCATAACTTATGAAAACAATAACCATGACTATCTGTCTTCAGCTCCATCAAAGACCTCAGAAAGATAATGTATAAACTAAAATTAACAGAGACATCTTGCTACCTGGACAGTCACCCAAAGTTTTTCTGTAATGTTGGGACATCCATCTTTAGCCCTAGGCCATAGTGTCTGGCAGACCTTTTAATGAAGTAGGAAATTGAAGATCTGTTTTGTCTTGCTTTGACAAAATTCATCAGTTGCTTTCTTCTGTAAAGCAGGAACCCTGAAGGACCATCCTGCCCCTTGGCAAGTTCAGCAGTCACTTTCCTTTGTAACCTGCTTGTCCTGTTTGGATATCTTGCTTACTGTTAGAAGCTGTTTGCCCAATAGGCGAGTTTTACCACATTGAAGGCAAATTCTACAACGAGTTTCTTCAATGCCCATCTTCCTCTCTGATGTAATTGGTGTTGCCAGGAATGGTTATATCTCATTGTCATGAAAAATCCTAATAAACCATTTTAAATGCAATATTCTGAAGGTCTTTGAAAGGCTTTGGAGAATACCTATCCATTTGAAATATATCTATGTATATCTAGAAAACCTAACTAACATAACTATAAGTTTTGATTATTATATATATGAATATATATGAATTATATGTGAATCAATGAAACAAAGAGTTGGTTCTTTGAGAAGATCAATAAGATAGACAAACTAACCAAAAGGCAGAGAGATAGCATGCTAATTAACAAAATCAGACATGAAAAGAGGGATATAACAACGGACACTGAGGAAATCCAGAGAATCTTCAGGTCATACTTTGAAAACCTGTACTCCACAAAATTGGAAAATCTAAAGGAAATGGACAGGTTTCTATATAAATATCACTTACCAAAATTAAATCAAGATCAGATAAACAGTTTAAATCGACCTATAACCCTTAATGAAACAAAAGCAGTCATCAAAAGCCTCCCAACCAAAAAAAAAAAAAAAAAAAAAAAAAAAAAAAAAAAAAAAAAAACACCGGCAAAAAA